GTCTCTTGTGGATGTTTCCTATCAGTGGAATCCTATAAATATTTGATCTTTTGTGACTGGCTTTATTCACTGAGCACGTGTTTTCAGGGTTCATCTCTGTTGTAGCATGCATCAGTACCTCATTCCTTCTTATGACTAACATTCCATTGTATGGAAATACCATACTGTTTATCCATCTGTCAATTGATGGACATTTGGATGTTTGGTTTTTTTTTTTTGTTTTTTTTACTGTTATGAATGCTGCTCCTGTGAACATATTGTATGTTCCATTCTCTTGGGCATATACTTGGGAGTAGAATTGCTAAGTCATTGGTAACTCTGGGTTTAGCATTTTGAAGAAATCACCAAATTGTTTTCCACAGTGGCTGTACCATGTTATATTTCCACCAGAAATATATGAGGGTGCTAATTTTCTTACATCCTCATCAATATTTGCTATTATCTGACTTTGTGATTTTAGCCATCCTAATGAGTGTGAAGTGATACTTGATTGTGGTTTTGATTTACATTCTCTGGTGAGTAATGATACTGAGCATCTTTTCATGTGCTTAAAGGACATTTGTATATCTTTTTTGGAGAAATGTCTATTCAAATTCTTTGCCTATTTAAAGAATTTTTTAATGTTTATTTTTGAGAGAGAGAGAGAATGAGAATGAACAGGAAAGGGGCAGAGAGAGAGGGAGACACAGAATCTAAAGCACGCTCCAGGTTCTGAGCTGTCAGCGCAGAGCACAACGCAGGGCTCAAACTCACAAACTGTGAGATCATGACCTGAGCTGAAGTTGGACACTCAGCTGACTGAGCCACTCAGGCAACCCTTTGCCTATTTTTAAATTGAGTTATTTTTCTTTATTGTTGAAATGGTAAGAATTCTTTATACATTCTACATACACTCTCGTAAAATGTATAACTTGCAGATACTTTCTGCCATTCTGAGTATTTCATCATTTTCTTGATGGTATCCTGTGAGGCATAAAGGTTTTGAATTTTTAAGAAGTCCAGCTTACCTGTTCTTTTGTCACTTGGGGTTTTAGTCCCATATCTAAGAAACCATCGCCTAAACCAAGGTCATAAATATTTTCTTGTATGTTTTCTTTTAGGAGTTTTATAGTTTTAGCTGTTACATTTAGGCCTTTGATCCATTTTGTGTTAAGTTGTAAAGCGTGGGGTGGGGGTCCAGATTCATTCTTTTGTATGTGCATATCCAGTTGTCCATCACCATTTGTTGAAAAGACTATTTCAATTGTCTTGTCCTCCATGTTGAAATGCAATCAGCCATAAGTGAGGATTTGTATTTGGACTCTCAGTTCTCTTCCATTGATATATACGTATATCCTTATGCCGGTACCACACTGTCTGGATTACTTTAGCTTTGTAATAAATTTTGAAGTGTAAGTCTTCCAACTTTTTCCCCTATAGTTGTTTTTGTTTGTTTGTTTCTTTTTCCCCCTCCTATCCTGGATTGCTTCCATTTCCATATGAATTTTAGGACCAATTTAACAGTTTTTGCAAAAAAAATCAAACTACTTGAGATTTTGATACAGATTGTGTTGAATCATTAGATCAATATGGAGATTATTTCCTTCTTAACAATAGGTAAGTCTTAAGATCAATGAACAAGCAGTGTCTTCTCATTTATTTGGATCTTTAATAGCTTTCAATGGTGTTTTATAGTTTTTGGTGTAAAAGTGTTATACTTGTTAAAGTTTTTCCGAGAGATTCTTTTAGCTGTATAATAGTGTACATGGGATTTGCTTAATTTTGTCAGATTGTTCATTGTTAGTATATAAAAACAGAATTGATTCTTGTATATTGATCTTGTATCCTGCCACATTGCTGAACTTGTTCTGCCTTTCATTTTAGCTATATCTTTACAGTAACCATTTAATGTAATCCAATAGCATTCATTTATGTGTTTATAAAAATCAACAAAAATTGAACAAGTATGACATTTATTAGGGTTTAATACACTTTAAGCCTTGTCTTGCATGATCTTATCTTTCTTACATGCAGACTTGGCCTTTTGTATGCAACCCACTTTATCTCCTATCCTGTCATTTGCTTCATCCCTTGATCTCTATTCTGACTTTTTAGTTTATGCTTCAATACATTTACTCTGCATTCTAGCATCTCTTTTCCGTTGCGGGTGCTTTTCCCCTTTCTGTAAGAAATCCCCTTTGTATCCTTTCAACTCACAGGTCTTTTGGACTGTTTGTCACTGCCCTATAGTCAAATACAAGCAATCCTTCTTTAATCCTATTGTCTTTTGTACTTAGCTCCACTCTAGAAATTATGCTGTTATACTGGAAATACTTGAGTGTACACTCTTGGATGTACCTTTATAAGGCATCTTTATAGCAGTTTGTTCTTCCCATTTACTGCTTGCTTCTAATTGTTTTTAAGAGTGCTTATCAGTCAGGGTTCTCCAGAGAAACAGAGAATCCATAGTGGTATAGATTTCAGCAGTTTTTTTTAAAAAATTTTTTAATGTTTTTATTTATTTCTAGGAGAGAGAGAGAGAGAGACAGCGTGAGCAGGGGAGGGTCAGAGAGAGAGGGAGTCACAGACTGAAACAGGCTCCAGGCTCTGAGCTGGCAGTCAGCACAGAGCCCGACGCGGGGCCCGAACCCACGAACCGCGAGATCACGACCTAAGCGAAAGTCGGACGCTTAACCGACTAAGCCACCCAGGCGCCCCAGGTTTCAGCAGTTCTAAATCTATAGGGCAGGAGAGCAGGCTAGAAACTCAGGCAGGAATTGATGCTGCAGCCTTGAGGCAGAATTCCTTCTTCTCCCTGGGAAACCTCAGATTTTGCCCTTTTGGTTTTTCAAATAAGGAGGCCCACACAGAATAGAGGCTAATCTCCCTTACTTCATGTCGTCTGTTTGTAGATGTTACACACCCACAGAATACCTTCACAGCAACACCTAGATTAACATTTGATTAATTTACCAGGTACTATATCCTATCCAAGTTGTCACAAAACTAACCATCAGACTATAAATTTCTGTAGGAAGGGGTTTCAATCCCTGTTTGTCTTTTATTTACTCCAGGAAGTCAAATGCAGTGTTGCATAATTAAGAGATATTTTATGAATGCTTGATTGGGTGATTGAATGACTTGAACAAGGTTAAGTTCAAAATCTAACTTGAAGACCTGGAAGTTATCATTTTGGCAAGATTACTGCTACTTAGTAGGTGTTTTATATAATCAGATATTAAACTGATACGAGCAGATACTACACTTGATCTCAGCCAAAAGGCCAAGAGGCGATAAATAGTCAAATATTATTAGCAGGAAATTGTTTTGCTCAATCTCTGGTAGCCTAATCATTTTAACTAAATAGGTCTATGCCTTCCGTTCTGAGTTTATTCCTACCTCATAGTCACTGGTATGTAACCTACTGTTTTATTTTCTTTAGTTGACTATCCTTCTAACTGTACTTGATTATTGATCATTCCAGACTAACAACGGGTAGCCTAGTTCCTTCCCTACCCTCGTTGGCCTCATTTTGAACTTGTAAGCATTGAGATGTCACTGTCCACAGTCTCTCTCCAGTTACAGTAATGCTTGGTATTTTGAAACACATTGAAGTCATGGAACATTGTTGAGGAAAAAAATAGATGGAGCCTCACAGTAATGTCTTAGCAATGAGACATGGTAGCACATCAGAGTTAAGAGGTTAAAAACATAATGACAGCACTTACGCAGTGGTGAGGTTATAGATGTCATGGTTATAGACGTCATAATATTTTCTCTTGTGCTTTTGTATTCTCTCTGCAGGTGATGGTATATGATTTTTTTTTTTTTTTTTTTTTTTTGCCTTTAAGGGACAATGCTTGTACTTATTTCCTGTAGGTCAGCTCTTGGGCAGGTGAAAATGGTGGAAAGGTCAGCCTAGCCTGGTCTCAGAGGGCCACCTCGGGGTTAAAGAGATTTTCCATTTGTCTTGATAACTATAGGGTGAAGACGTGGACATGTTTGGAGAACAGAGGAAAATGGAATAGGTCCCAGAAACAATACACTAAACAATAAGTTTGAAGTGTTAAGGGGGAAAGCAAATGAAGCTTAATATTACCCAGGATACTGAAAGCCTCCTGAAAGCATTTGCAAAGTGCCTTTGCCATCCTTAAGATGGCCCAAGGAATTCCCTGGTCTCTAGAGTTCTCCATCTTTCTGCTGATTTGCCAGTGACATCTAAAGTAGTAAAAGTTCAGTAGTAAAGCTGTATTCTGGAATTTGTGCTGATATTGGGGAGCCTGTGTGCCCACCCTTGTAGTGGTGGTGTTTTGTCTAGACAGCTGTGCCCCAAACTGCTCTCCCTGAAAAGGCTTCACTTGATTTGGCCACTGCCAGCTCTACAGCTGCTAAATTAAGACAAACTCTTACATTCCTGCCCCCAGATTCCTCTGTCCCTTTGCTAAGCTCCTGTGTGAAGCAGCACCGCGTTCCTTATTCCGTAGTCCCCAGTTGTTGTCAAACTCTCAGTGAACTCCAGACAACCATCTCAGACTTAAAACTATTTAAGCATCCCCTTGATTACTTTACATTTCTAAGAGGCGCTAAATGTTTTAAATAAAGCCTGCCTAAACAGTCGTGTCTCATTCCGGTTTCCTCTCTCAGAGGAAGTGTCTTTCAATAACCCCAAACTACTGGCTTCTAATTTTAGGGCTAACTAAGGTAGGATCAGGATGGAAAATAAGCTCCTCTATTGATTTGCCTTAGTCATTTTGCTCCGAAGCCTATAATTAGCTCTATTTTCTCCACCTGTAATACATGTTTAGATTTACAGTGATGTTGAAGAAATAGCGGATGATGTACAGGGTTAGAATTTGGGGATGTTACTTTTGGATACTTATATGAATGACATTATGGGGTTGGGGGGGAAATGGGATATTACATTTCCATCTCTTTCCTTTTATTTTTAGTGATATCAATAACTCAGTGACACTGATCAGTCACTTTTATGAGTGCTTTACTTGTATTAATTTAATCCTCACAGTAAGTACAGTGACCATGGTGGGGGGGGGGGGCAGGAGGAGCTTGTTATCATCCCTGTTTTGTAGCTGAGGACACTGGAAGGCTAAAAGCAAATTGTCCAAGGTCACAGAGCAGGTAAAAGCACTAGACAGAGCCCACATTCTCTTCTGCTTTGTCCATCTGCAAGGAAAGATGGCAAAAAATGAAAACCAAAAACTGGTTGAGGAATATAAACCCTGTCCCTTCACATCTGACAACATAGGTCTAGCACGATGGTAATTTTTCTCCATCATTTTAAAGCTATGACAAAGGTTCACTCTTTGCAACACTAACTCAAAGAAAGAGGAAGACACATAAATATAAGGTGGTATTTAATGAGTCGCACCCAGAGGGCTTAAATAGACTTGTGACAGTCCTTGGATTGTTTTTGTAATCATATTTGAAACACTGGGTAAGGGCATCGACAGTTTTCTTTTTTCAGTCTATACGGAATTTCACCAAATGGGTGCCCATTCAGTTTATAATGCTCATATTCAGCTTATAGCTCCCTCCTTGACTGACCTTTCCTTTCCCTCATTATTCACCTTGATAGAAATTCTTGCTTTTCCTGCCTCTATGTGTTACTCCTTCTGCCTGGAATTTTCTTCTTTCTACCCCTCACTGCTTTTTTCTGGAGAATCCTCCATTTTTTTTTAAAGACACAGTTCAAAGGTCACATCTTCCATAAAGATTTTCCTTAGATTAAGTCTGTGCCTCTCCTTGAAAACTGATCATTTCCTTCTATGTGACAGCAGCTTATATACTTTTAGCATCATAATCCTTTATTACAGTGCTTGTCCATGGACTGAGATAGGTTACTGTTCTTCCATGAAATAAATACAAAAATTTAAGATAAGCATTTCAAATTCTTATTTCATTTTTTAAAGTATCTTTTTTTCAAACGTATCAGTCTGTGAAGGATTCAAATTTTAAGAACTTGGCCCTTCCCCATGATGATTTGAGAGGTACTAGTTGTCATTGTTTCTTACCTGCCGTCTTAGACTGGAAGCCTCTGGAGAACAAGGTTCATCTTTGTATGAAGAGTGGTTTTGTGTCAACAGTAACGAATTTCACATCCACAGCAGTGGAACTGCAACTTTCATAAAATGGTGTTTCATATCAGATATTTGCCCCTTTTTAAAAAAATGCTTATTTTTGAGAGAGAGAGAGAGAGAGAGAGAGCAGTCAAGGGAAGTGCAGAGAGTGGGGGGACGTAAGATCTGAAGCAGACTCTGTGCTGACAACAGAGAGCCCAGTGCAGGGCTCAAACTCATGAACTATGAGATCATGACTTTAGCTGAGTTGGATGTTTACCTGCTTGAGCCACCCAGGAGCCCCAGGACTTGTTCCTTTTTAAAGACTGAATTATACTCTGTTTTGTGCCTCAGTTATTATACAGTGAAACCTTGGTTTGTGAGCATGATCCATTCGGGAAATATGCTTGTAATCCAAAGCACTTGTATATCAAAGCAAATTTCAAGAACCATAGGCTCAGTTGTGATCATGTGAGGTTTGGTGTCACATACTACTCAAATTGCAAGACCTCACTCCTTTATCAAGTTAAAATTTCTTAGAGGTGTTTGCTCGTCTTGCAGAACACTCACAGAACAAGTTACTCGCAATCCAAGGTTTTACTTGTACTTGCAGTTCTGTCTTTCTCACTAAATTCTTTTTTTTTTTTTTTTTTTAGTTTTATTTTATTTATTTTTGAGAGAGAGAGCATGAGCAGGGAGGGACAGAGAGAGAGAGAGAAAGAGAATCATAAGCAGGCTCCTCTCTGTCAGAGCAGAGCCCAACTTTGCACTCAAGTCTTGTGAACCATGAGATCAGGACCTGAGCAGAAATCAGGAGTCAGACGCTTAACTGTCTAAGCTGTCCAGGTTCTCTTTCACTAAAGTCTTGAGGGTGATTAACTTTTGCATCCCAAATGCCAACCATAGTGCTTGGTACAAAATGAATGTTTGGTAATTGTTGCTGATTGAGTGAACAAGTGAATGAATTCCAGCTATTTATTTCTTGTGTTTAGCAACCTCACTTGATTCATTAATAGTCACAGGCTCCATAGATCCCTTGTGATTTAACTCTGTATGTTAAAGAAATGTTTAAAATAGGTTCAGAAGAATCAATTTCTAATGTTTAACTATTTATAAAATTTACATTTTATTTTAAAAATGTTTTTAATGTTTATTTTAGAAAGAGAGAGAGTGCAAGTGCATGTGAGCATGAGCACTAGCAGGGGAGGGGCAGAGAGAGAGGGAGACACAGAATCTGAAGCAGGCCCCAGGCTCTGAGCTGACAACAAGAAGCCTTATGCGGGGCTCGAACTCCCAAATTGGGAGATCATAACCTGAGCCAAAGTCATACGTTTAACCAAATGAGCCACCCATGTGCCCCTAAAATCTGCATTTTAGTAATATTAACTATACAGATCACTAGCTGAAATTTAGGTAGCACTTTCTTTTTTCATGTGAAAAAATATTTACATTCTTTAATTTATTACCTGTACTAATAAAAGGGCTTTGTATCGTGTTGCCGCTGTTGACATGATTGATAAGTAACCCTGCTGCACGGCCATTCCCTCCTTTCAAGATTTGCTCTTTGCCTGTGAGTTGCTCCTCTTTTCAAAAATATGGTAGCTCAAAAATCAGAGAACTCTAGATGCTGGCGAGGATGTGGAGAAACGGGCACCTTCCTCCACTGTTGGTAGGAATGTAAACTGGTACAGCCCCTCTGGAAAACAGTGTGGAGGTTCCTAAGGAAACTAACAATAGAACTCCCCTATGACCCAGCAATAGCACTGCTAGGAATTTACCCAAGGGATACAGAAATGCTGAGGCATAGGAGCACGTGTACCCCAATGTTCATAGCAGCACTCTCCACAATAGCTAAAACATGGAAAGAGCCTAAGTGTCCATCAACAGAAGAATGGATCAAGAAGATGTGGTTTATCTATACCATGGAATACTACATGGCAATGAGAAAAAATGAAATCTGGCCATGTGTAGCAACATGGATGGACCTTGAGGGTGTTATGCTGAGCGAAATAAGTCAGGCAGAGAAGGACAAATATCATATGTTTGCACATATAGGAGGATTAGGAGGAACTTGACGGAGGAACAAGGGGGAGAAGAAGGGGGGAAATGGTGGGGGAAAGGGAGAGAGGCAAACCATGAGAGACTCTTCAATGCTTACAAAAACTGAGGACTGATGGATGTGGGGGGGAGGGGGGATGGGCATGGAGGAGGACACTTGTGGGGATGAGCACTGAGTGTTATGTGGAAACTAAGTTGACAATAAACTATTTGTAAAAAAAAAAAAAATATATGGTAGCTCAAGGAAAGCCACACAAGTGTCTGTCTGTGATCCATTTTACCATATATATTTTTTCTAGATGGGTTCCCTCTTCTGCAGATTTACCTAATTAGGATTTGGAAACCCCCCCACCCCTCCACCCCCCCCATGATCTGTTTTATTTTTTACATTTGAATTCTAGATTTCAGTAAAAGCAGATGATCTTGCTTGGACAGTGCTAAATATTTTTTCTGATAATGCATTTTAGCTTTCCCCATTTAATGAGCAGTTTTGTTATGGTTTACTCAGAATTTTGAGTAAATTTTTTTTATATATTTGTAAGAAATTAGCCATAAGGAAATAATTTAGGTGTTTGAAATGTGAATAATGCATTTAGAGCCAAAAAAGTATATTTACATTAACCTAAGTCAAAAGAGGAAATAGAAAAGATACATACATTTAGAAAATAATCTTGAAATATTCCAAGCCAAGCTTGTTAAATAAGTAACATAATACAACAGGTCGAGTGTTCTCATTGTTGATGCTTAGTTTCTTCTAGAGCAAATTAGTATTTTTGGAAAAGAGGAGGTAGGTATGGTGGACTGTCATATGAATTATTTTATTTCAGGGAATCAGGAAACCTAAAAGTCTAATGATATTCCTAATGGACTGCCAAATATTATACTCCAAATATGAGCCTTTCCAGAGGAACCAAAAGAAGGGGGCTATTCTGTTTGGAATATTACGGATAAAAAAATTACGAGCAGATTGCATTCATAGAGAAATAAACTATGGGTGAGTGCAAAACAGCTAATAAAGAGGAGATGAAAGGGAATAAAAGCAGCGATCCACATTTTGAAGATTTTTCACCAGGGACACTGAGTGATCATAGCAACTGTCTCCAAGGAGACCTGTGGAAATGTGAAAAACGCTGAGGTCATACAGGCGCCTGGAGAAATTCCGTATTGATTAACAACTTCTAGATGTATCTTTCCCTCTTTACCTTCAATGCCTCTAGCCTTTTAAACAGCATTTATTAGAAGGATAAAGGAAAACCAAGTGTGATTTACCCCTATGAGAAAAAGTAACTCTCAGAACAGAAACTCTGCTCCAATCATTGTGAGCAGCCTTTCACTGAACTTCAAAAGCTATTCACGAACTTGGATATTAATGAAGTGAGAAGTCCCAAGGATTTAAATGGAAGCCTTGATCATAGGTGGTAGTGATGGTTATTGTTTCATTGTAATGGATACAAGTTTGCATTCCAGGGCTGGAAGCAAAGCTCCCAGAAAGGGTTCTCTTGTAAGTTCTTCCTTACTAACCAGGCAGCTCCCGCTGGTTCAGGGACCCCCTCCATTTCTAATCCTTGCAGGATCCCACTGGTTCTGCGAGGGCATTGTTTCAGTGGGTGGTGAGAAGGTGGGTGGTGAGAAATGCTGTGTTGTTCACTGGGAGCCATGGTTTCCTTAGGTCATTCAGTGAGTAAACATTATTGCAGGGCTGCAGCAGCCCAGTCAGCTCTTCATCAGACACTGGGAAAGCAAACGTCACCCGTGGTCTCTAGATGCTAAAAGTTCAAAGAGGAGGTGGACAAAATAAAAACGAAACCAGTAATTGCATGGGATAGGAAACCCTCACAGAGTGTTGTAAACAGAGAGAGACCAGAGGGAGATGACCGGGAGACATCTGAGACAGGAAGAAGTTCCAAGAGGAAGTTTTGGCTATGTTGAAAGCCCAGAGGGGGTAGGGTGCCCTCGATGTTAAGTGATGGGATATAAGATAGGTCTGAGAATTGCGTGCAGGCCAGTAAACTTGATGAGAAGTAGTCCAGGTGTGGGATGTGACGAAATTTAAGTACTCCTTTGTGTTCTTCCGCTTCACTTATTGCTTCTGGAGAAATGGCATTTTGGATTGGAAAAGGGGGTGTCCTAGTTGATCAAATTCAGGGGGTCTGGCCACTGGGAGCCTTTGACTCTCTTACTGGTAGGGACCTTTGGGGATTTCTGCTCTGGTCTTAACCTTGTTGTGCATCATCAGTTTGCATATAGATGTCATGTGTTGACTTTTGTAAGTCTCAATTACAGGATTTGGTCAGACTGCAAGCCTTATGTCTACCCCATGTAGTAGTTATGCTGATTAAATGAGCAAATACATGTAAAACTGAAAGTAGATGCTGCCTAATATAGAGTAAGAACTGTATAAAGGGCCTTTGTTATGAGTCAGTATTATTATTCATCTGGGATTCTTCCAGGTCATTGGAGCACCTGGAGTGTCCTCTAGATCCCTAGACTATACGCAGCTGGAGCAGATCTCTTGGGCCGAGAGCACTCTGGGAGGGTGTGGACCTCTGCAAGGAGGGATGCCCTGGGTCTCCAGCTACATAGTCCAGATGGAAAACAGGTTAATTCAGTGAAAGGTTCATCTTTGAATGTGCTGGGAGCACCGTGAGCCAGCAGCGCTGCAGAGTTTGATCCTTTTGAGTTAGAGATGTTACTATAGCAATTTTTAGAAGGGACCACATGGGTTTCACAGCAATAAAGGCCTGGGATTTTTACTATAAGATAAAGCATTTAGAATATGAAAGACAAATTTTGCTTTTTGTGTTTTTGTTTTGTTTTAAAAGGACGTGTCCTAGCTGGTAGTGCAGTGCAAATCTACTCTCAGGATTTGCTAATAACTATCTGAATATCCTCTCTATAGCAAGTCCTGCTCAGGCCCAGAGTTCAAAACAGTACAGTAAGCCTACTTTCTGGAGTTCTTGAACATGTTGAGTTCCCAAGCTAGTTGTGAAGAATCAGCGAGATGATGTGTCTAAGTTGTTTAGCTTAGAGGAAGCCCTCAATAGATGGCAGGGGCTATTTTTACTCTTCTCATCTGGCCAGTCTCCTAAGTTGGTGGCTAGAGCCAATACAACATTAAATTGTGCTGTCCTCACTGGAAGTTTGGTGGTTACAAGATTTTCCTAGCACATCTTTAGTTTGACCAAACTACAGAAATAACTATAAGATTCTAAACTGGTCCATGTTTTAAAATTGGGTGTGGAGGAAATGGGTCATAGAAAAACTACCTAAAGAATTCCAATTGCTTACAGCCACTGAGATGGACATCTTTTATGGCGGGAAATGATGTTGTTGTTGTATAATAATTTCGTGCCAGGCAAAGAGCTAAATTCCTCCTGCCTGCCTGCCTTCCTTCCTTCCTTCCTTCCTGCGTGCCTTCCTTCCTGCCTTCCTTCCTTCCATGTTTCAAATTTTTACTTAAATTCTAGTTAGTTCACATACAGTACAATATTAGTTTCAGGGGTAGAATTTAGTGTTTAATCAGTTATAGTAATACAACACCCAGTGCTCATCACAACACATGCCCTCCTTAATACCCATCACTCATTTAGCCCATCCCCACCCACCTCCCTCCATTAGCCCTAGCTCTCTATAATTAAGTTCTTTCTTTAGTAATGATAACCATTCTATTACCCTGTTTTATAGGTAAGGATACTAAGACATAATGAAGTTAAGTAAGTCACTTGTGGTCATGAGTGATATGTTCCATGTGGTCGTCATTGGCATTTCCCTAATAATGATGGAGTCTCTGAGAAGGTGATTTTGAGGAGAAACTTAAATAAAATGAAGGAGCAAGCCATGCCAGACTGTGGTAGTAGAACTATTTCAAGGCAATATTTCAGAAGTAGAGATTATCCTAGAAGCAGCAGCAAGGACAGTTGTGAAGAGAGAGAAGTGAGCCAAGGGGGAGGAGGTCGAGACAGAAGGCAGGTAGTAGGTCTCCTAGGGTCTAGGAGGTCATGGTCAACACTGTGTTTTAGGCTTTATTCTAAGAATTTGGGGAGGAAATGGGAGGGTTGTTTTAGACTTTCTTATCAATCACAACTTCACATTCAGTATTTACCATATATGAAATCAAGAATCAATTATTTCTCACCTAAGAAATTTTATTTCTAACCTAATCTAGACTAAGAAATTTGTGGACACAAATTTTAACTCACCTGAGAACATTCTGTTCATCATTCCAGAGCAAATGCCCAAATACAAAGGAGGATGGTAGGAGACCATAAACATTTCAATAGTATTCACAGGTTACAAAGTTTTTACGTTGGTGGTGTCCTGGTACGAATGAAGTCTGTATGCAGCATGTAACTTCAGTAGTAAAGTCTTTTAAATACTCTTCCATTATCTATGCAGTGAAAAAGTGTTAATTCCTTATCAAAATAGAGTAGACCTCCATGATTCTACCTCCAGTCTACTTTTCCAGCATCATCTCTCAACACTTCTCAAGTTATTCTTCACATTCCAGCAACACCAAGCTGTTTGCAGTCGCCCCAGGTTAGATCAAGTGGGCCTCCTCTGTGCTCCTGAGATACTCTGGGCATGTATTGCATGGT